GTGGGTCGCATCCCGTGGCCCGGCCCGTGGCACGCCGGCCGCCAGCACAGCCGGCCCGCTTTCGCTTTATCGCGATGATGAATAGCACTGGGGGCTGGACGCGAGTCAGAGCAGATCGAGTGTGACCAGTTCGCAGTCCTGCCCACTCTCCACTTCACTGGATGCACTCGACAAAACCGCACTGGACTGAGAACCCACCCCCCCCCCCATTATCTAATCACCTCAAGTGCTCACGCTCTTATTTTTCCATCTGGACTTCCCCCCCCAGGCTTATAAAATAAGTGCATGGGGAGTTGGTTTCTAATCCATCAGCATGGCAGGAATATCTACCGCAATAATCTCGTAATTAGACCATAGACTCTGCTGCCAGGAACGTGGCCGAGGCCCTCAGTGTTGCCTCATTGGTCAAGCAGAACAAACAAGGCTTTCTAATTGGTCAAGCAGACCAAACAAGGCTTTCTCATTGGTTAAGCAGACCAAACAAGGCTTTCTCATTGGTCAAGCAGACCAAACAAGTCCTTATTATTGGTCAAGCAGACCAAACAAGTCCTTCTAATCGTCTGTCCTGTTGGCTGATTAATGTGAGTAGATGATGTTGTAGGATGGGGAGACAGATTCAAACTGAACCCAGGTAATTCTGGCAGACTCCTGGACGGACTGCTTGCTCCTTCCGTTCCTCATGGATCTGGCAGATGGATCCCAAAAACACCAGCACAGGAAACAGCTCCGACTTTAGGTGGCCCTCGTGCCCTGTTGAGAACATTCCACGGGGCCCCTGGAAGGGATGGGGGGGAGGCCCCGCATCGAAAACATTATTTCAGAAACATGCAGGTTTCCACAAGCCCATGGCGACAGGCAAACTGTGGGTGGGGTGTGACGGGGGGTGCAGGCGACCAAAATTCCCACCAGGGTCCCCCTCACAGAGAAAACAAATCTGAAAATGCTTCAATAAATAAATTTTAATTTAATATTTATTTAGTTAATCACAGGGCACACATGATCATACACTACAGAGACACCAGTTAGCCAAAACACATTTTCTGCTTTTCTAACAGGCCACACACATAAATTTCTCAAAAAGGAAAAAGAAAATATTCTTGTGAAAGTGCAACTGATTCATCATCCATCTCATAACGAAGGTCCTGTAACGGTTAATGCTCATTTAAATCACAGTGTTGGATTAAAGACGTACGCGGTGTACAGTATATTTGAATATATGTGAATAAAATATTTTAAGCATTGAAGAAACTAGAGGCGACATTAAAGGACAGCGTGGTCAAGAGATCATCATTCAGGATTCCTACACCGGCCCATCTTCTGCTAAGCGCCGCTTGGTCACTATTGTGACCAAACATTATATTTTGAATATAATTCTCATGTAAACTGCCTTGCGTTACAACGATGGTGTGGCGATACAGTGATGGCGTGGTGATACAACGATGGCATGGTGATATAGGGGTCCCCCAAACCTTGGTGGTGGTAAACACCACCGGTGAGGGTAGCGAAGTTCTGTTAATTCGGCTTTTGGTTTTGCACATCCATCTTCTCCACGTCCCTTATGTAAGTGATGCATTTTCTTTCATCACACAAACCTAAAGCTTTAAATGATAATGTGAGCACTCCCCCACTCCCTCCCCCACCTGGGTGTGGCCAAACAGTGCTCTCCTGCCCCCTACTGGAGAGGCTCTGCATTCACATGCAGATTGGGTCTAGCTGCTATGGCTGGCAGGCTTGCACTGTGGTGTCTGTTAGCAGCTGGGCGCCAAATACAACCAGTCGGCTGGAGACCCTCCCCCCCCCACCCATTAAATCAAGGGTGAATGTAGGAACACGACATGTCTGTTTGGAAAGCTGACGACATGCTGGGAAGTGCATTTTCCAGACCCTGTACAGCAAACTACATGAGAAGCGTGACTTTGCCTGCATTGGTGATCGAAGAGGATAACGGTGGAAATAATCACATCACTCTCTGTTTTAAAAAAATGTCAAAACAGTTTAGGGTTCTCACTGTGTAACATGGTATTAGTCCATCTCCTGATCAGGATAAGTGGTTAGAAGAGAGATAGATGGGATTTGTCTCTATTTTCGCCTGTTCTGAAGACTTTCTCTCAGTCCCAACAAAAACTTCCATGAATAGTAGCTCTGAAAGCCAGGCCTTTGTGGGAATACTGACAATAAGCTCACGATTAACTCAAGTGTAAATCCACACAACTCTACCCAAGAGGCTCACCTTGTCCCATCTCCACCCAAACCCTGCAACTGACCAGCTTGAAACCACACAGATTGATCTTAGTTCTGTCTAGGACTGGATGTCCTGCAGGGTTAGTAGCACCACATGGACACCATGTCCTGGCTCACAGTTCCACTGATATCAGAACCTGGAGCTGGATTCCTGCACAGGCCGGTCCACCAAGCACGACGTTTGGATGCGATTGCGTGCAGAAACACGAAGGCCTGGATTTTCACGCCAACTGCTTATTCTGTACATGATTTATGGAGCATTCCTTGAGATAGGTCAGTATCACATTCACCTTTACAGCATCTGCCTGGAGTTCACCACCATTCACGAGAAACTGATGGAACTGCTTCTTGGATCAAGCTACAGTTTTGATGGACATCGACTGGATCTTAGGATGGCATGTGGCACATAACTATCACCTGCAGAGAAACAGAGAGACAGTCTCTACGAAAAGTAGATCTCAGCACTACTGCACATTTATTAGTGTTTCTGGTCCAACATATCTGTTACTTCTTCATCCTTGGCAAGAATCTTAAACCCTTTTTTTGTGTGGTTGTTATTCGGCTCAGACTTTGACACGTAGCAGATACCTCAGCTTCTTTTTGGCCTGCAGCTGCCAGATCTGCACGGAAGCGGATATTAACGAGCGTGGAGTTCGCTCTGGACAGGCACACGCTCAACACAGAGGGAGCAGAGTAAGCATGGAAAACCGTTCTATTAGACGAAGAAACATCGCACACATGCAAAGCCATGAGAGCGATTTGTATCCGCACCGCTTCATCAAAATTGGATTCTTAAATATCGAAAACACAGATGCCGAGAACCCTCGCACACACAATGGAGGTGACGTGAATATACGAGGTCATGTGCATGCACTCATACCAACGCTGGTGACCCACAGTGCTCAAAGGTCTCTGCCAAAGCACAGAAATTCGGCTCCATTTGCAAACCCCTTAACAGTGTCACCCCACATTTTCACTTTCAGTCCCTAATGCATCTCTCATATTCCTGGGTACATTCTCACGAGCACCCTTGGTTTGCTCCTGGTAAACCTGCCCTCCTATCAGTAAAGGTCAAACAAGCAGGACAGGAAACCTGCACACCTTATTAATCAGCATGCCAAGTATTAGAGCAACTTATTTACACATCACTCACTGTTGGAGCAGCCTCTCTTTACACATCACTCCCAGTTAGAGAAGCCTGTTTGCACATCATTTACCATTAGACTAAGCGCTCTACATCTCACTCAGCATTAGAGGGGTCTATCTTTACACATCACCCATTGTTAGATGAGCCTGTCTGTACACATCACTCACTGTTAGAGCAGGCTTTTCTAAAACGTCACTAATCATTAGAGCAGTCTTTCTTTACATATTACTATCTAGAAAAACTGGCACTTATAAACCCGACATTTTAAAATTGACTCATGACCACTGTCCAGTTTTTAACCAAGCTTTAGGGTTAAAGGCATAGGGGCCTCACTGGCCTTCTGGCATAGAAATGGTGTCCATCCCTTTAATAACACATCTAATAGTGTTTCATTCGTCAGCCATAAACACGCAGTGTGTTTGGCCCACGTCTGCTTCCCACAAGTAAATTAACTGACCGCGTGCAGCTGTGTGGCCAATTTCTGACAAGGTGGTGGGCCAGGTTTGGCAGGACGTGGAGTTCAAAGAGCAGACATCCAGCAAAAACCTATGTTTGTGCCTGAGAAATAAATCACGCCAAATGGCCCCCCTGGGATGGGTGGGGTCCTCTGATTGGATTGATAGTGTGTTTAGCAGGCACTAATCTCAGTAATGAATGCATGGGCCTTTTTGTCAAGGGACAGGTGTTCTGAATCTCCAAAACAGCGATAGCAGGCATCTTGCTGCACGTGGGCGTCCCTGGAGGTCACGGCCGGCCTCCACAAGTGGAGGGTAGCTTGAGGAAGGAAGAGCCAGTAACCAAATATCACAGAGCGCACGGCCCCTTCAGACAACTACAGCAGGATTCCGCCCCCCTCCCCCTTTAGTAATCTGTAATCTCCCAGAAAAACGCTGCGCGTTCAAATCCACAGAAGTCCACAGCATCAGTAAGATGAACCTACTGCAGGTTCATTTCTAAACATCAGTCAGACTTCATATTCGACCACAGCTGGGCTGTGCGGAGACGTTTTAACGGCAGGTGCACAAAGGTTAAAAACTGGGCACTCAGTATCTTTCATTAAAGCTCAGGGACAAGATCACATCAAACAGTTCGGGCGAAACGGGCAGGTGCTCAGGCACCCCCAGGATCCCCCCCTCCGCCCAATGCCTGGACAGGGATCCCCTCTCCCCCAACCCAAGATGTTCCTGATTAAATACTGACATCTGCTGGATAGACTGCTGCCAAATCCCCACCAGCTGATACTGCTGCCTTTTCTCTACTCTCTAATCATTTTTGCCTCCCTGCTTGGGAATTTTTGGTCAATTTCCTCCGTTGGCATCTGGCTTTCTTTCATTATTTTTTTTATTATTATTTCATTAAGTTGAGGGAGGCGTAAAAACAATTTCCCCACGGGGATCAATAAAGTATCAATTATTATTATTATTATTATTTCTTTGTCTTCCCTTTTCCCCATTTTGTAAAATTCTGTATAAATTCAGTAACGTATTACAATACACCCATGTTAAGCACCATGGGGTGACTTCATTGTGAAAGGCGCTATATATAAAAAATAAATTGAACTGCTGTCCTCCAGAGATCGAGGGAGACCACAAAAAGAGGACGACTAAAGACAAACATTTCTGAATGACTTTAATCTAGTTACACAGTAATAACTTTGTAAAAGGCAAATAATCAAAGGCAGCCTTAACAGAGACCGCTGTTGGCACAGTAATGTCTGAACTTCAGACAGTTTAATTACAAAATAAAGACATTAATGAAGGGACGTGGTCGCTACGGTGATGGCATCATCTGATGGTGCGGTACATCATGAAGTCCACAGTGGTGCATCGTGGGAACTTGCCGATGGAGGTCTCCTCCACGGGCGTGTAGACCTTGATCTGCCGCATGTGCGTGTCGCGCCCGTTCTGGTGATTGGCCAGCACTGCGATCTGGATCATGAAGGTCCGGATGGGGCTGTTGGCCAGATTCAGCAAAGGGATGTGTATCCATCCGCTGGGCTCCACCATTTCTAACTGCTGCAGGGGCCGAAAGAGAGAGACAGAGGGTGGACTTCAGAGCAGGAGGGCAAATGACCAGCCAAGCCATGCGGGACAAGCTCGCATGAGCTGCTATTAGCTCCGAGACGTCGGAGAAAGTGGGTGTGGCTCGTCGGGGACCACGCGCCGGCGTGTGAGGTCAAGGGGGGCGGCAAGCCGAACGACTCTCCATTCAGGCGTGAGAGGGGCCCCAACACAAACTGCTAACAAGAGAGCTTACAGAAATCTTACCAAAATACCAAATGTATCCTAGAAAAATAATTTTAAAAAGGGGAACTTGCCTTCTTGTCTTTCAATTTCCTCACAAGGCTAAATAGAAAACATTTCAGATAAAAAAACATTCTTGAAGGCTTTTATGTAAGGACCTCACAGCACGCCGAGTGTAATCCTTACCAGAATCTGGTTTATTTATAAAAAATCTAAATATTTACTGCTAAGTGCTGGGACACAGAAGGCAGCGGGAGGGGCCATTGAAGCGCCCACATATGGTCACAGACGTTAGGGTACGTCAAGGAGGGACACAATAAATAATATGTAAATCCGATCTGTGTGTTTAGAATCACATTCTCACGTTGCCGGTTTGGGAATTTAATACAGATCTCAGCTTTTAATTTAACACGCTATTAACATTTTCCAGGCCACCGAGGGGGCGACTCTGGCGAGGATTGGGGGCCAACTTCAACATAGGAGAGGGTGTTACGGCCTACCGCACACAACGCTGAAAGAACAGCTTTCAAACACATGCAGCGAACTGTGAAACCGCAAAGGCGAAGTTCCCCGCACTGTCCTCGCTGCTCCAGCCCAAACGAAGATGCCTTTTGCATTCTGGTCAGATGTCTAGCTTAGTTGCTCAGCAAACCAATCGATCACGGTGGATCTCCACTTTTGTCTTTTTGAATCTCAGTACAAATAAGACGCACCAAGCAACTTTCACCAAACCAAAAACAAGTAACCGTGGCTACAATGACTAAATCCTGTCACACTGTGGTACAAATTTACCTTAATTCCAGAGAATAATCATTTCAACCACCAAACGAATCCGCCAATTTTTAAATTTCCTCAATATTCTGGTGCACTTCTTAATTTCTTGGTACCACATTTACACTGAGTATTAGGTCTGCATGACATCACACTACGACGTACTCGTGACTATATTTGGCACACGCAATAATCGCCAGGGCTTCGGGTGCCGGCTTTTCGGTACTATGCAGATATTTACTTATGTCCACAATCTGGTAAACAGATTAGTAGTACGCCTAAAATATTAATGAGATATGCAATGCGACGCAAAAAAACTAGCAATCTGTATAAATTCAGCGGAAAATCACGTTTATTAAATTCAGTTAGCGGAGCGCCATATGCTACCGTTTTAGTGAATCACGGAAGCGATAAGTAGTGAAGTGGCGGTGAAGAAGGGACAGATCAGCAGCCACAGCATCTTCTAAAGGAGGAGATATTGTGGAAAAATGAGGTACTGGTTTGGTGGTACTATTTGCAGGTTAAAGTTCGACACGTTTATTAAACATAAGGATATGCTGAATTTGTACAGATTACTAAATTTTGGGCATCACAATATGCCTTAATATTTTAGGCACATTACTAATCTGCTTACCAAATTGTGGGCATAAGGAAACATCTGTATAGTACCAAAACACTGGCATCCGGACAAATGTTTCGCCCGTTATCTAAAGCCCTGGTGATTATTGCACGTAGGCCATATAATCTCGATATGACATCATGCAGTCCTACTCCATATACCCACTTACATATAGTGTAAGAGAAAGTGCATGTTAACTGTGCTCTATGTACCATGCTACTGTACACACAATTTTCCCCTGTAAGCAATAAATTTTTTTTAGCATTATTAATGATGCCTCTCTGTTTGCATATTAGCCCAGCACTGAGTCTCCCCCATATGCTGACGGGACCTCAGCGAGCCTCACAGGTCCCACTAAAGGACCTTCTCCTTAACCCCAGTGTCAGCTTTTAGAATTGCATTCTCACATCGCCTGTTTGTGAGCTCCAGTTGTAAAATCTGTCTTTCTTGCAAAGCATCAAAGCATTTGGAACATTAAATGAATCCGCTTATCTCCAAAACATCAACCTCATTAAAAAAAACTTCTCCTAATAAAAAAAAAAAAAAAAAAAAAAAAAAAAAAAAAAAAAAAAACTTCAGGGGTTGACGGAGGCGCTGGGGGAGTCCTCACCACCACGGCGCTCCGAGGATATCCAGCCTATCCGAGACTCTACCCGGCATCGTTCCCTGTCATCATGGATTACTCCCTGGAGGACAGGAAACACTCCAGATCTAATCTCTTTTGGAATGCTACTCCATCACCGCTTTCACAAATTCAGTCATC